TGTGTGTGTGTGTGTGTGTGTGTGTGTGTGTGTGTGTGTATGTATATATATTATAGTCACATGCTCACACATACACACACACACACATACACACACACACATCAGAAGTTCTACACATATCTCCTCAATCCTCTGTTCCTAGAACTTTCCCCTGCCCCCCAAGTCTGGCTCCAACACAAACTCCTGGAAGGCAGGGACTGCATCCCAGCATAGAGTGCAGTGTCTGGCACATGGTAGACACTGAAAGTGAGAGATAGGGCTTTGGTTTTGATCTGAGCCCTCACCCACTAGATGTGCTGGGAAAGTCAAGAGGTGAGAAGCTAGAGAAGGGCAGAGTGGCAGAGGAGCATAAAGTAGCTCCTGTCATCGGGATCTGCTTGTCACCCAGTGTTATGATGAAGTAGCTTGCTTTCTGAAGCCAAATCAGACTTAAGAGACTGCCCCAGCGAAGTCTGGAAGGAATCCAGGGGCAGGGTTGAGGGGCGTGGAGAGGAGCAAGTGGCTGCACAGTCAAGTCATCTAATCTGAAAGAAAAGCAAAGAAGAATGAAGAAACTTTTCTTATTGAAAGAAAAGAAGGGAAGAGAGGAAGGGAGCAGAAGGCAGAGGGGGGCAGAGAGACAGGGAGAGGGAGGAGGAGGAAAAGGAAGGGAGGAGGGGAAGGGAGAGCAGGGGAGAGGGAAGAACAGGGGAGGGAGGGGAGAAGAGAAGAGCGACCCCATAGAAGACCAGCAAACTCAACTCACCCAGACCCCAGGGAGCTTCCAGAGACTGAGGCACCAACCAGCATACCCAGGCTGGTCCAAAGCCCCTGGCACAGATATAGCAGAGGTCTGCCTGGTCTGGCTGCAGTGTGAGAAGTTCCACCTAGTCCTTGAGGCCCTAGGGAGAGGGGGAGGCCCCGTGAGCCTGAAAGGCAAGGAGGAGGAGGAATGGGATGAGGAACTTTGGGAGGGGGGACTGAGACGAGGCCAATAACGGGAATGTAAATAAATAATAAAAATTGAAAAAAAAAAACTTTTGCAAGGACATCAGCCAATAGTTTGACCTCACACCAATGTCTCTTGTTATTAATATTGTAGCTAATGAAATATTGGTTTCAAAAATAATTGATGTTTCTGGTCTGATAGTAGTGGGCTATCAGGACTAATCAATATGCACTAATCGATATCTAAATGATTGCTATAATTCTCCTTGTTTGCCTTGAAATTTTTTTTCCCCTAGCTGAAAACTTGTTGGATACCCACAGGGTATCCACTCTCACGGCAATGACCTTCCTTAAATAAACGTACGCATTCATCGTTCACAGCCTGTTATTTTTGACCACACAGGTGTGGATACTGCTGCAGGAGCCTTGCTGCAGCAGGGAAGAGAAACTTTGTATTCTGCAGTGTTTACGCTGATCAAACCTAAAAAACCGAAATGCGCTTCCTGTGCCAGTGCCCGCCCCTAGGCTGTGGCTGCTTGCCAGTAGGAAGACGAGCAGAGCAACGAGCAAGCGAGCCTGTTTACTCACGGACAAAAAACCAGTTGCCAGACTCCTAATTTAGGCTAGAGGCGCCTGTCTGCTCCCTCTGAACCGTTTCTGCAGCAACCATGGCTGCCTTCGTGAAACTCAGTACCAAAGCCAAGATGCCCATCGTAGGCTTGGGCACCTGGAAGGTGAGTGCGCAATCTTTGGACAGCTGCTTCTTTCAAGTCGGGACAGGTCTTGCCACTTCCTTTTTGCACAGCTTCTGCCAGGTGGGGCAGGAGTGGGGGTAGGGTAAGGCTGGAATTCTACAGCCAGGACCCAAGTTGCTTTCAGCTTTTGTGCTGCGTCATCAGGCCTCAAAGCTGGCTTATAAAACTTTCCTAACCAGTTACAAAGAACGACAAACAGTCATCTCCAGACAGTTATTCTCTTCGCAAGCTTTTCCTCACAATTACTTCACAATTTACAGATTTGGGCTGTGTATTTATTTCTGGTTGAATTATTTAGAACGAGAACACTGAGCTCCAAATGACCCAGCTCCCCTTGCTACCCATGGTGAAGGACTCCCACTGCCTACTTCAGATGGATTGATTGATTGATGTCTGGGGTAGGCATATGTAACTCTGACATAGAGTTTAGTAGGCAGCTGAAACTGGTCCTGACCTCATACCTCTACCTCCCAAATGCTTGGAACTGCAAACGTGAGCCACCTCACTGAGAAGTTGAGGTTCCAGGCTGGCCCAAACTCTCTGTCCCCTGCCTTTACCTCCCTTGTGCTGTGATTCAGATTTGCACTATTATGCTTGGCTATCAGTGAGCTTTGATGGTTTGTTTTTGAGGCAGGGTCTCACTGTGTAGCACAGCTAGGGTGGAAATTCTTGTGTAGTACAGGCTGCTCTCTAAAATCATGGCAATCGGCCTGCCTCTACATCTATACCTCTGGAATTAAAGGCATGTAAAGGTAGTGACCATGCCTGGCTTAACCTTTTTTTTTTTTTTTTTTTACAGTGACCTTTGAAAGGATAATTTGCAAGAGTCAGTTCTCTCCTTCTACCGTGTGGACTCTGGGACTTGAACTCAGGCCCTAGATTTGGCAGCAAGCCATATTCCATAGATGAAACCAGTTATATTATATGCTAACCATAAAAATTAAGAAAATAAAATGATTTACTCTTTTCTTTTTTAGATATTTTCCAAAGTATGTTTTTCCCCCAAACCCAGTTTACATTTGAAATAGATCCCAGCAAGGCTGTGGTTTAGAGAATCTGGTCCATATGGAGCCTGCTAGAGCAGGATTTGGAAGAATGGCTTCTTTTTTTTTTTAAGATTTATTTATTTTATTGTGAGTACACTGTAGCTGTCTTCAGACACACCAGAAGAGGGCATCAGATCACATTACAGATGGTTGTGAGCCACCATGTGGTTGCTGGGAATTGAACTCAGGACCTCTGGAAGAGCAGTCAGTGCTCTTAACCACGAGCCATCTCTCCAGCCCCAGGAAGAATGGCTTCTAATGATCTTTTCTATTGGTTTTCAGTCTCCCCCAAACCAAGTCAAGGAAGCTGTGAAGGCGGCCATTGATGCTGGGTATCGCCACATAGACTGTGCCTATGCGTATCAGAATGAGAATGAGGTGGGAGAGGCCATCCAGGAGAAGATCAAAGAGAAGGCTGTGAGGCGGGAGGATCTCTTCATTGTCAGCAAGGTACAATGGTCCACTTGGTGGACATGACTTCAAGGCAGTGAGAGTGTCTGGGTGTGGGCAGCTTCAAGAGCTTTATTAGCCTTTTCTGTTTGGTGTATTCTCTCAGCCCCTCTCTGGCATTATATCTCTGCAGGAATATCCACACCAAGTTAGTACTAGTAAGAAAGTACTGATGCGGGCTGGAGAGATGGCTCAGCGGTTAAGAGCACTGACTGTTCTTCCAGAGGTCCTGAGTTCAAATCCCAGCAACCACATGGTGGCTCACAACCATCCGTAATGAGATTTGATGCCCTCTTCTGGTGTGTCTGAAGACAGCTACAGTGTACTCATAAGTAAAATAAATCTTTAAAAAAAAAAAAAAAAAAAAGTACTGATGCTGGTCCCCCTGCCTCATTGGTTCTCTTATAGTTGAGATAGATGGCTCTGTTGAACCTCCCTTCCCTTCTTTCTGTTAGTGGAATATATTATCCAAGCAGCAGTAAGGGGTATAGTTAGGATGGACCCTGAACCCAATTGCTTAATACTGTGGTCTCAATGACTCTGGTCCTGACATTCTCAGACATGTGTATTTTGGAAATGGTGGGAACATTATTTATTGTCACGTAGGTCCCTCCTCTCGTTTCAATTCAGTAAAATGTGTGGATTATAAAGTGTTACTAAAAACCAGAGGTGTTGAGTGCGAGGTATTTGAAGATCTCTGGCTCTGTAGCGGACACAGCATGCTAAAACACTCTAGTTTCAGGACATTGTAACTGGTGTGGTAGATAGCCCCCCTGTTGGAGTGGGAATGCCTGATGGGCTTGGAGATCAGAGAGTACTGAAAGGGTTAACTGTTCCCAGGGGCATCAGGACACTTGAACTTTCAAGGTCAGACTTAGTTCCTGCCCCCTGAGAGCTGACAGCCAAGGAAGAGAATAACACAGGGGTATCAGCTGTCAATCAGTTATCAAATGTGGTAATACCAAGATCAGGAAGAACGCAAATGCACAACTTGCTGAGTGCTGGTGACCTACTGTGTTGCTTTTCTTAACTAACCTTATCTGTGAATGGTTTGTCCTGGTGTTAGAGCAGCTGCAGATCTCAAAGCAGGGAGAATGACTTTGGTGTGTGTGGCCTTTCTCTCCCTAGTACTAATGCTCTCTTGTCACACCCTGCAGCTGTGGTCCACCTTCTTTGAGAAAAGCCTGGTGAAGAAAGCCTTCCAGAAAACCCTCTCGGATCTGAAGCTGGACTATCTGGACCTGTATCTAGTTCACTGGCCACAGGGATTTCAGGTTTGAGCTGCTCTTTGCTCTTATCTGTAGCAGCCAAGCTGATGCCAGAAAACAGCAGCTATGTTGGAGCTGGGGTGGGGGATGGGCTGTATCAACACAGCTGAGGCAGGAGATGGGCTTTTTGTGAACAACAGAAAGCCAACAGCCTGTAAAACAATAGGGCTGTATGTGTGGAACACCACGTGCTTATGTTTTCTTACAGTTGGCTTGAGAGAAACTGATTCTGGCCAGATCAGACCAACTCCAAACTGGCCTGTCATGTCAGGGTCCAGCCTCGACACAGGATCTGAGTTCTCAACTGGAAGCAGGGCTATCTGAAAGGCACATAATAAATATACACAGACTACACTTTAGGTACAAGCTGACAGGCAAGTTTTCAAGGCTTAAAGTTTCTCTTCGCTCTCACTCTCTGTTTTCTTTCTCTCTTGCTCATTCGCTTGCAGCTTGAGGCTGCACACACTCTGTATTCTCTTGTGCACTCTGTTTTTCTCCTGTGTGCTCTTCTGTTCTTGAACTCTCATACTCCTACACACCTGTGTGTGTTCCCCTTTCACTCTCACACACACTCTTCACATACGTCTCACTTACACCACATGCACTCTCCTTTCACTCACACACACACTCTTCAGTCACTCTTCACAGTCTCTCTTCACCCACCTCACTCGATCTTCACATGCTTACTACATGCTCTCTCACTTGCTCGCTCACTCACTTGCTCACCAGCCTTTCTCTTGCCCCGGTCTTTTATTGATTCTCCAAAAGCAGATAGAAAAGAAAAAAGACATTGTACAAATCACTGCCAAATCAAATTCAAAAGACTAACCATGTCCCACAAAGAATCAAGAATTACAACTGTTTCCCAAAGTTTCAAGCTTTCCCTATTCCTAGGCCTGTAGCCAAAATAATAATAATCGCAAACTTATCATTATTTAAACTTTAACTTTTGACTTATTATACTTCAGAGCTCAGAGCTCCAGGGTGAGCTACTTGCATTTTCTTGTGAAACTCTAATGATAAATGACATGGGCAAAGCTGCCAGGCAGTGGCCAGAAAGAGTCAAGTTAACCCTTAACTCAGTTGTTCCGCTAGCTTTCTGTTTTTGTACATTGCACACAATGACTTTTCTAAGAGTCCCAGTGTTTTGACTTAGTTTTACTAGTGTAAGATTTTACATATTTTATACTTGCTTACCCAGGAACCACTCTTAAATGTTGTGTAAAACTTCTTTCGTTACTTCAATAGTTTTTTTTTTCTTTCTTGGGGTCCCAAGTGTTGGCTCTATTTCATTTTCTAATAATTTCTTTAAATTTTCTTTGCAAGTCAAGCATTAATCTGGAACTACCATTGTGCAGTTATTGCATTGTTTCCAAGATGAGAACACACAGCATGCACCTGGACCATTAGAACTGTGCTGTGCTGTGCTGTGCCCGGTGCCTCAATTTTTAATTGTTTAAGAATCATTACATCAAGGAACATCTAGTTTCACAGAATTCACCAGAGCAGAAGGAGAAAGAAGAAAGTCAGATATAATAGAATAATTATGCACACCAAGGCCAACTGAAAAGCAGTCACTCACAAATGAAATCTATACAACCATTGTCCAGGGCTAAGGTTAGGAGAAATGGGAACAACTGTTTTTTTGTTTTTTTGTTTTTTTGTTTTTTTGTTTTTTTGTTTTTTTTTTCCTTAGAGCTGCCATGGGCTACTGAGATGTCTCCATCCTGGCCTACTGCAGGCAGTCCCTTATTTCAGATGATGGGTCCCCTGAAGTTTCAGATGATGGGTCTCCTGAAGGGATGTGTCTCCTGCTTCTCAGGGTCCCAGATGCCATCCTCTTTACAAAGAGCTGTTATGTGCTTTTGAGATGTCTCCATCCCGGCCTACTGCAGGCAGTCCCTGTCATTGTATGCTGCCCCCACCACTGTTAGCTTCTTATTCATTCTCTGGGCAGAGGGGATGGGAATCTCTTGGGACAGTCTTATATAACACACTTCTGGCAATTATAGCACCGCCACACTAGTGAGTAACATCCAGGAACAAACCCTCAAATGCTGGCAGATACTCATTACAGTCTGAAGAACTAAAGCTCAATCCCTGGGGCCCTGCTCCAGCCTGCTCCTCAGAGTTGAAAGGGGTTAGTCAGGGTCTGGAGAGATCACTGTGCAGTTGAGAACATTGACTGCTCTTCTAGAGGATTCAGTTTGACTCCTAGTACCTGCATGGAGGTTCATAACAGTCTGTAATTGTCCCGCGCAACCTCCCGCCAGCAGGAAAGACGCGGCACACTCAGGATCCTTCTGCAGTATAAGCTTTAATGCATCTTGAGAGGGAGAGCATAAGCTTCACAAACGAGGAGGGACCCCAAGGGCCTAAAACCCTTCCCTTATATAGAGAGCTAAGCTCGCCTGGGACGTGGCAGTCTCTGATGGGCTCCTGTTGCCTCAGGCCACATGACGTGTTCCAACTGTCAGATTAATAAAGGCGGGAAAACCTTCCAGCGCATGCGCACAGACTTGTTAATGGCAATGATGTGATAAGGATAGCTTCCCACATGTAATTCCAGTTCCAAAGGATCCCGCATCCTCTTCTTGGCCTCCACAGGAACTAGACAAGCATGTGGCGCATACAAGCAAAACACCCATTCAAATTAAAAAAAAAAAAAAGGAATTGAAGGGATGTGAATTCTCTGCTACCCAAGTGACCAGTTATGGTGATGATTACATTCTCCAAACCTCAGCTAGAAGCTGGGTAGGGTCTCCTGCTACTAGCCATGTCCTTTTGATGGAATCTTTTAATCTCTGTCTAATAACCTTGAAACCAAAATGCCCCCCAATTTCCTATGGATTTGGGTGTGTTGGGTTAATTTTCATGATAACAATATGGATTTTTACAGCGTATTAAGGACAGATGGTGAAACAGTACCCATTAGTGTCAGACACATAGTGGTTATAGCCCGCAATGGATTGACACATATATTTTATTGATGGTTACTGTCAAAGTGTGCTCCCCAGAGTGTGATGCAGGTGTTTCTTTTTGGTATATCGTTGCCCTCAAACCTTGCTCTGAGAACCAGGTATCTAGGCTAGATCCTAATGAGCTTTTTGTTTTTCATTTGCAGTCTGGAAATGTCCTTATACCCACAGATGATAAAGGCAATGTTCTTAGCAGTAAATATACATTCTTGGATGCTTGGGAGGTAAGTTCCAGCTTCTCCAAGTATGCCAGAAAAAAAATTCTGGCAGGTCCCCTTGGGACTCAACCCAATTGCACTGTGTCTAATTTTATTACTATTGTTTATAAGTCTTCTCTTTTTTTTTAAACATCCATTTATCCATTTTGGGGAGAATGACACTTGTGGAGGTCAGAGAACACTTATGGGAGTAGGTTCTCTGCTTTAACTATGTGGGTTTTCAGAAATTAACTTCAGTCAGTCTTGGCCTCAAGCATCACTATCCATAGAGTCAACTCCACAAAACACTTTAAAAAAATGAGAAGATACAGTGCTGAGCTGGGCATGTGGGTGCATGCCTTAAATTCCAGCACTCAGAAGGTAGACACAGGCAGATCTCTGTGAGTTCCATGTCAGCCTGTTCTACATAGCAAATTCCAGGCCAGCTAGAACTGCAACTACACAGTGATAACTCTGGATAGATGGATAGATAGATAGATAGACAGATGATAGATAGATAGATAGATAGATA